CTACCCACCAAAGATAAGATGCTTTATGGAATTATAAGATAGGGCAGGTTGCCATTTTGCAAAGAACCTCTTCATGCTACTTTTAACTGTATATGTAATCTTTTCCGTTTTTAAAAAAAGACAGAACATCTCTGAGCCACTGAATTTTCTGGATTTCCAATAGCAGAACATGTCTTGCCAACAATGAAGTAATTGATAAAATAAATCAATGTTTATTTGTCCACTGGGAGCCCAACTATTGCAATCTGAGGAGAAATTGAAGAGTTAGTTGTAGTAGGCGTGTGGTCTTCTGGGCATTTTTGCGACATAGCTCTCTCAAAACAGAAATAAAACATAAGTAAAGTTACAGAAAGGAGCACTACACTTGTCAAATACATGAATATTGTTTCTAACCATGTCGATTTAATTCAATTTTATTTATATAGTGCCGATTAAAGTTCAAATAATCTTGTTTCTTTAACACGACAGTACGTCCACTACTCACATGGCCTCCACAGGCACCAGATTTCAATCCAACAGAGTACATTTGGATGTGTCAAAATGGGAGATTCACATCATGGATGTGTAGCAAATGTGGGATGTATCATTATCAATATGGACCAGAGTGTTTTCCAGTTTGAAGACAAAAGTGGGTCCAACTTGATACTAACAAAGTGTACCTGTAACAAAGTAGCTGCTAAATCTATGAATGCTTTTCTACTGTTTTAAGTGTCATTATTGATTTTGAGGTTTTTATCACATTTTTTGTTTTTAAATAAGTTTGAAGAAGTCAAATTCAAATGCAATCATGATTCCACACATCTCTGTTTCTGCAAATGTTAAGAACTGGGGCGCTAAAGAAGAAGTCTAACAGTTTTGAGAAGTCTGCAGTTTTCTCAGTATGCTGCACAGATCTGATGTTTTTGTCTGCCAGTGTTTCTCCAGTGAAGTGGGAGTGTGAGTGACAGATAAATCATATGCTTCATGTATGTCCACATTAATTTTCAATGTCTGTTTCCATTGCACTTTTTCACATTTTGTTTTTATTGCTAAACCAACTTACCCACCTCTGCCAAGTGAAAAAGCTGCCGTATTTTCATGATTGGATACTGGACTTTGCTGTGGGCTGAAAAAGCTGTGTACAGTCTTTCTGCCCCGAGCCAAGCGTTTGCTCTCAATAGCTCAAAAAGGACTCAGGACTGTTCTACTATGAAAATGGCAGGTGCTTCAGGACTGTTTCTGAGGTCGCTCCACATAAATTTCTCTGTTGTTTATGCATCAAATGATCTTATTTACATACCACTCTTGACTCTTTTTAAAAATAAATAAAGTTAATGTACAAACCTGCTAAAAAGATTAGCACATGCATATGCAAGAAATAAAGAGATATGCAGAGGTTCCCTTTGAAAATTGACTCAATTGACTGGAAAAATTAAAAAAACATGTTTTTAAAGTATGTAGCTGCTGGCATCAAAGTGCTGTTGAGAGAAAGCTAGTAATTACAGGTCATGCTGATGAAAAAGTCTATCAAAAAATACATGAATAAATACATACATATACTGCAAATATCTTTTGCCGTCTAAATTTGTACAGGATATCTTTCCAGCAGCCTTCTTATTGGGTTTGTAGGACACGCATTTTATGAATGAAAGGGTTAGTCAGCCACATGGGGTTTTTATCCACAATCGTAAATAGCTGTCTAGTTACAGCAACAGATTAAAAAAAAGATCTCTAAAGGCTGTGATCTGGGTTATGATCTGCTGCCCTAGTTCTTGTCCGAGTCCTATTAAATATTTTACAGATTATATATTAAAGTTGATAGTGTTTCCATTCCATACTCTAAGAAAAATACCCTATTATTTGGTCACCAGCTGTGTTAAATTAAGTGGCTGGTTGAAAAATCAGATGGTAATTTAAAGTAACACATGGATGAACAGGAAATGTATTATTGGTTGACCTGGACATGATCAAACATAGTGATTCAAACATGGTGAACGTTGAAACAAAAGGCAATGACAGTATTTTCTTTTGCTAATTTTCCAACACTGCGGTGACGGGTAGCTGATAGTGTCGACCTTCCAGAGTGCTTTTGTAACAGCGTGGTGGCTGTATTTGCTTAGCAACAAAGGTTAGCTCAGTTTAAAAAATATATAAATGCTTATTTATATTTTTGTTTTAAAGAACACTGGGTCAAAGTGGCACTTCTGCACAGCACAATGCCTACTATGGTTACTCTCTCACTGTGAGAAGCGAGAATGGCATCAGGGAATTTATTTTCCATGTCCAGCATGAAGAGAAAGTGCTGTAGGCCATACCAGCATTAGCTCACAGAACCATGGTAAACCTTGTGGTGAATGACCAAGCCTACCCTAAAAGCTATCAGCTAAAGAGGTATAATTGTATTAAGTCATGACATTTGCTTTTTTTTACGTTTAGCTTTTCAAGCGTATTTACCAATAACAAGAATAAGATGTCTAATGAGATGCATTAGGTAAATTAAGTTTTTAGATAAAAGTTCCTATGTGTCCACTAAGGCTGTTGGGAGGGTGGCATTCATCCTGGATGCATCGCTTGTCTATTGTAGGGCATACAACCATCCACACTCATATCTATGTGCAATTTAAAATCACCAGTTAACCTAAGAAACACAGGCTCCATTGTGTGGTGGTTTACACATTTGCCTTACCAGCAAAAGATCCCTAGAATGGCATCTGCCAAATCAAATATGCAGCGCTACCTTCTGTGGCGTCTGTTTGTGATAAAGGGAGCAGCAGAAAGGTTAACGAAAAAACAAAAGATACTAATATGCATGCCTTTGGATTGTGGGGGGGACTGAAGCACCCGGAGAAAACAGATAAACTCTACCAGCTCCAGCCGACTGATTGTTTTCCTTGCTGTGAGGTGCCAGTGTTTACCACTCAATGGTAAAAAAAAATAAATAAAAATTATACACAAAAACATGTGAAAATTGCCTCAAGGCATAGGTCTGGCAGAGGGTCAACTAAATCAGGCAACCCACTGAGCTTGAAACCCTGCATTTCTTTATATGGAGTTTCTCTATTTTCATTGTTTGGTTTTGTTTTTGTATTTTTATACAGGAAGGATGAAGCAAAATAAAACTTACTTTTACTTATGCTGCTTACAAAATCTATCATGTGCAGTATTAGCACTGTTTTCCATCTCCAGTATTAAGAAGGCTCAGTGATTTCTTATGGTTTAATGTTCTAATTCATAAAGTGATTATTTGTTGTGATTTTTGCCATTTATGCTGTTATGGTTTCATGGCTTCATTTTTTATTCAGTTAAAAGTGGCACAGGTGTTGTTATCCAGGCTTTTTCTCAGTGGCAAAAGCAGATGTCCTTGTAGATTTAGCTGCATAATATGTGGATGTCTGTGTGTATCTTATATCTCTGTAGTTCGAGATATTTGACATTTTCAGATCTGATTAACCTTTCTCTCTTTTTGCTGTTGTCTTTACATTTCATTAACATTTAACAGTTTCACAGTTGAGGAGAGGAATACTGCGGTAATAGCTCGGTATAGTTTTAAATGCTGTATTGTCAGGGTTTATTTGTGCACACATGGATGCATGTATCGAACATTTTATTTATTCCACGCTGTGTTTATTCTGTCTAGCTGGTCCTGCTGTAACTACATGGATATCCGTGACACTGTTTAATCGTATTAATATCCCCACGTTATTGCATTTCTTTATTAGCAAACAAAGATAGTTAATTTATTGAGATTCAGAGTCTGATGTAGCCGTTGTGCTGGATTGTGGCTGTCTTATTGGAAAATGAAAACTGTCTCTCACATTGTCTCTAGCAGTTGTTGGTGCACTTATTTCATGTAGCTTTCATTTTGACACCCTCCAGGATGCTGCGCAGAAATTTAGCATATTGAATCTATTAAACCAATGAAATATTCTGTCACTCAAGCGAATATAAACAAACACGCCTTCCTACACAAACACATAGTGGCTACAGTGCAGCCATCAATGCTGTAGATGTACTACAGGCACAGAAACAGTCTAAAGGAATATTCTGCTTCCTCATATAAAACTATAATGTGAATTATGAATGCCACTTACTACTTTGAAAATAGTTCAGCTCATTCCCTTTCTGCCTGCTGCTTGCTTCCAGCTTGGAATTAAACTTTCATATCTGTTTTGAACTGTTAGGGAGTGCGCTCTTTCTTCTGCCAACCTCTGCACTGAACCCTCGCTAGATTTATTGGAAATGTGACACACCTCTAAGGCAACCTGTTTGCTGACAAAATTTCTCAAAATGTGTTCCTGTTATTTTTTTTCTTTTTCATTTTTGGTGAAGCTGCTTCTATGTCTCTCTGTACTCAGTCAAACGGGTAAAGCAAACTAATGTGGTGTTTATTGCTAGTCACTATATGAGGCTCAGAATTAGAGAAAATACTACAGTTAATGTTAACACTCCTATCTAACCTGAGGCCATGATAGAGTTCCTTTGCAGGGTAGTTTTGTGGCAGAGTCGAAAATGAAATCTCTTGGAAGAGAGGGGATACTTATTGGCATTCCGTGTGCAACGCCTTGCTCCCTGTTTCTTGCCAGTGGCCAGCACCCAGTGTCTCAGTAGTCCTATATTCCAGACCCGAGTGTGCTCTCTGCCGATAATAAACAACCGAACAACCACGCTGGAGTCATAGAGGTTTACTGACTTACAATCCGACCACCTTGCTCTGTCTATCTCGCTCAACGGTTGGGTGCAACCTTTGCTTTATGTTCAGTGTTGACATGTTTTAAAACCCCTGCTGTTTCTGCTTTGCTCCCAGGTCTGAATGTCATTGGGCTTGTTTAAAAAAAAAAAAGAGAGGGGGGTGGGACTGGTTAGACTGAGGGAGGGACGGGATCTTTGGCATTTGGCCCAATGTCAATAAAGGATTAAACTCCAAAAGACATCTGTTAAATGATGTGTCTTTTTTCAGCTTCTTATCAAATCTCCTTCTGTCCACTGGGGAGCAGTTTCTGACCCTGTCTCATGTATTGTAGGTTTCACCCGTGTGAGGAGATTGCTGCTGCTGCTGCTGCTGCTGCTGCTTCTGTCCTTCCTCCACACCCAGGCCTCCCCCCCTCCTCCCCCTTCACCAGAGCAGGGCAGCCACGGAAGGCTTGGCTCGATTTCAGGGAGGCTCAGATCCTGCAGCCACGTCAATCACGTCTTCACCGCTGGGTAACTATCAAGCATGCTATGAAACTACTGCTGCCTTTGAATTTTTCTGGCATGAGAAGCACAGACATTTGAGATTATGTAGTCTTGTTTTTGGAATTGTTTTTTTTATGCTTATTTGTTACTTCTGGAGTCGGTCATGTGTGCATTTCTCATGTAAAGAGGCATTTTCTCCATCCAAGCGTGCAATAAACACACACACTCGCTCTCAACCGCACAAACAGAGATGCCAGAGGGCACAGGAGATATCTTTAGGCGGTTGATAATTTATTTATTTGTTTTTTTTAATTTAATCCTATTGACTAGTTTGACGGGGTGCCATGGTGATGCACTGTCACAGCAAGAAGGTTCTGGGTTTAAGCCTGATGGTTAACTGGGCCTTTTTGTGTGGACTTTCTATGTTCTTCTTGTGTTTTTTCAGGGTACTCTGGCTTCTTCCTGCAGTACAGAGGTGCATAGTAGGTAGGTTAACTGGTAATTCTGAATTGGCCGTAAATGTGAGCGTGAGCCTACAGGTTAGGCTGTGTCCTCGTGTTACAGTAGCTCTGGGAGGGACTGGCACTTTGTCTAGGGGTTACATTGCCTCTTGCCCAACGGCAGCTGGCACAGGCTTTAGGTGCTTGCAACCCTCTACAGCAGGGTTATTAACCATACAGCACACTGAATAGCTTTCCAAAGTGTAACAATTGTAAAGAAGAAGGGAGAAGCCTTGGAATATTTCACTGTATTTTGCAAAAGGTAGCACTATTTTGCCAGTTGTCAAGAGTGGTTGTCTGAATTGTTGATTTCATATAGGCCAGAGGTCTGAATCATTGTCAATTTAACAACCTTCTGTCCAGCCAGTACTTCATAGGTTTAAAAATTCTTCTATAGATACTGAAGTTGTTGCTGCAGGGCAGTGATTTAACTGAAAAATGACATAGGCACTAAACAACCTTGCTTTTCTACAGGAATATAACAAGAATGCAACTAGTTGGCAACCATTTGTGTCGCGTCCCCTGTTTCTGTCGTATTTCAATCTCGTGTGACTAAATAATTAGTAAAATTGCTCATGGCCTGCCATGCCACACCAAAGTTAGATTACTAAACCAAGAGCTTTGTGCAACCATTAATTTGAGAGATGACAGCAGTATTTGTCCGTGATTATAGAAAACTGACACTTACGAATGTTTTATAGGTTATTATGCAGTGGTGGCCATAGACTATGGCCAACTATGCTTCCAGCTGCAGCACCTAGAAGACCCTAATAAACTCACTGTAAACTAGCTGCTAAAACAATGAAAAGCTTAGCAGTATTCAGTGAAAAAGACAGAGACCAGAAACCAGTCTAGAATCTGAAGACTGGTTTTCTAGATGTGTCACACATAGTTTGCTACGACAGTCGTCACATTGTCTTTGGACAATATATTAGTGCTCTGTTTATAGCTTGCTCTGTTAGCAAAAAAAAAAGAAGTTAGGATACATATTTATGTCACAGTTATACTTTAGTAATTATAGGCTAGTGTCCACTGAGTTCTGAGGTCTGCTGGTGACCTCGCTACCCTGTCTCAGTTGACACGTTGAACTAGTTCTGCATAATACGTCTCTAAACTTCCATTTTTGCCCATTATTTTAACTTTCTAAATTCAGATTTGTACATATTCTACTGAATTCTTCAGGTAAATAGTGAAAAAAAAAAAGACAAATGAATGCACATTTCCAATGTGTGGTGTTATGCAAATGTTGGGTGCATCAAGACGAACAGCTGGCTGAGCTAATTCTCCAGGTGGGTGCCGTTAAACCATTATACACAAATTAAATGTAGTTAAAAAAAGAAGATTAATGGACATGGAGTCTGTTAATAGTTTAATGCATCTGTTCTCATCTCCTTTTTTGTTTCCATTTCCCCCTTTTTCATCACAGTTTTTTAAATTTTCTTGCCTCAACTCCAGAAAACCTTTAAATTACCTGAGTGAAATTATGTCCCTGTAGGTTTAGCCTACTTACTACACATAAATTGGACTCACACTAGAAACATGTAATCTATGCATCCTTTTATTTTCCTTCTTGCTTTCCACGAAGCTCTACTATATGCATTTGATAACCGTGTCCACCTACACTCAGTTATTGAAGGCCCATCGTTCCAGACTTAAATAAATGGGTCTTAGGTTTCTGCCGTGCAGTCACCCTCCAGAGCCAGTTCAATCACTGTCTAACCAGGAGTTACATCCTTTCCCTGCCCTTATCTCTAACTCCAAATTACGGAGTTTCAGCCCAGTTGTCACATCAGAGAGTCACAGGAGGACGTCAGGGAACCAGGGGCCAGCTTAAACAAGGTTATAAAAGACAGAAAAAAGGCAGAAGGTGGTTTGTAAATACACAATGAGGATTATGCGGACGTAGCGCCAGCCCACTGCCCTGCCTTGGCAGGGAAATAGTTCACTCAGTCATCCAACTGGTGTGCCATGAGGGAATATTGCCTTGCTTTGGCTGCTGCACATAAGAGATGTGGTTTTAGAGTTACAGCCTGCTATCTTGCTAAAAGACATTTAAGAAAGGGTTTACTGCTATACTTTGTCAGCGATGGAAATTTTGCTCGCTTTTTCTCCCCCCCTCTCTTATCTGCGGGCTGCTGCATTATAGTCTGAGTCCATGATTGGCATTCTGCAAGTGTGGTCCGCTACTTTGATTAAAAAAAGAAGTAAAATAAAAATATGTCAGCTATACATATAAGCTTCTGTCCCAACGTGTCAGCTGCTGAAATTACCCTGTCTCCACGTTTCTGCTCTCTTGTCACATTGTGCATAAAAATGAGCTAATGGGGGAGCACCCAGACTGCTCTATCCCGATGCTAATGAACAACAAAGTAGCATGAACAGTAGTCATCAACATGTTATCCTGAGGTTTACACCTGAAATTCCAATATTTTCCCACCTACTACCACATTACCCATTTTTGTATAATTTTCTTTTTCATATCAAGATAATAAACCAAAAGCATAGGATTCTTCCTCTTTAATGGGCTAAAGAGGTCACATTAGTGCTTTAAGGGTTTTAAAATAACAGCATAACCACAGATAAGCACCCGAAGCAGCACTACAGAGCTCAGTGTTAACATCACATACTGTTGCTGTGGCTCCCTGCTAATCTATGTTCAAGGCAGCTTAGCCTATTTGCCACCATGAATGTCCCAGAGTGTGTCACAGTCTCAAAGACCCACCACACTGGCTTCTGGGAGCATCGCGCTCCCTTTTCTTTTTTTCCACCTTTCCACTCTCCATCACTCTTTAATTCCACTCTTCTTCTCCCCTGTCACAGTTTGATCTTCTTATCTTTACTTTGATTCAAATCTTCTGCGGCCCTCTTTCATTTTCTTGTTCTCAGCCCTTTCTTAAGGTCCTGCATGTTGTGATGAGCCTGAGGCTGCTGGGCGTCTGTGGTGTCCTCCAGAGGCATGGCTCCTGAGCAGAGGAGCAGGTTTGAGGATGAGTGAATGTGGCACTCCGCTATCATCCTCTCCCTCTTCTCACTAGTCTCCCTTTTGCTGTCACATCTCCCACTCCTCCTCTTCACTCCTTTATTTCCCATTTCACTTAGCATGTACTATCTCTCCCTGACTCTCTTTGCCTGTCGCCTCTGAGAATGATGCATATGAGGGTGGCGGAGAAACAGATATAGCTTCCCGACAGAATTGTCTTTACTTGTTCTTCTGGTGCGTGTATGTGCTTGTAAGTTGTACTGAATTGTAAATGGGTAAATGGGTGGTTGTTCATCTTAATGCTGGTATGGGAATATGTGGGAGGGAAGGGTATGCTGTTTATGTTTACTGCATCTCAGCATTCCCATTCCAGGAACAAAGAATTGCTGTGTGTAAACTGGGTGGAAGGGTGGGTGGGTGGTGAGGTGTGGGTCATTGTCTGTGAAGAAGATGCTTTACACACACACACCTTATGGTGGCCCAGAGTGCACACCACAAGTTTGACAAAACAGAATAACAAGATGTAAGAAACCACAGCAAAAATGATCAGAATGAAAATGCATTTAACAAAAGACATCAACACGCAGCAAAAACTGAAAATGCAAAAATCACACAGAGAGAGAACAAAACAGTAAAACTGAAAGTACAACAAAGATAACCCACTTCATTTAGAGAATAGTAGAAATGTACCATTTAAAAAATTAAAAGGGAAACTGTTAATTAAACTAATTAAATTAAACACATAGCAACATATGAATATGCCAAATCTATAGACAAGGGACCAGATTAGCTGCACCCAGACCTTTCAGGTTTCTGTTTGTACTCTGCTTATAATCTAAGTTCTATTGACCACTAATATTTGAGCAGGCTTTGGTTGGGTAGAGGTAAACAGTGTAGGTTTAAAAATTTGACAATCTCAAAATCGTCAGCTGTCAGTGATTTATCTTCTTGTTAGCTGTTTTGTGCATTAGTAAACAATAATCAGTGGCTGGAACAAGGAGTCTTGATCCAGATATTTGCTGGCTACACTGAAAGCCCCTAAAACATGGACCTTTGCCACAAGGGGCTAAGTCAGCAGATTAACATACAAACATACGTTCTAATTTGTTAATATTCTCTCACCAGTCAGTTAGCTACAACTTGCTACTATTGGGTTGGGGCCTCTTTAATATTTAGAACACCCTTCGTTGTCTGTGAAGGTTCTCAGTCATCCAGGTCATCGTAGTCTAAGGAGCTTGGAAAGAAAAGCGTCTGGACTTCTTTAGGTTTCTTGAAGACATTTCACCTCTCATCCAAGAAGCTTTTTCAGTTATAAGAGCAATTGGTGGAGAATCCCACATTTTAAGCCCTATGGGAGTGTCCCCAAGAGGGTCATGGACCCCCTACTGATCCTCTACCTCATACGAGCCAAGGTGTGGCCCAGGATGTGAGTGGGCGTTAAAGCATCTGGGAAGGGATCTCAAAACTGGATTAAAGATGGCAGACAGTTGGTGTCGTTGGTGTCCCGGGCATCCTGGGCCATTTGACCTAAGTCAATCACATGATAG